ATTGACTACGCTGGGAAGCTTACCTGCCGATGACGTTGTATATTTGAATATTAATTGGTTGGATTGATATATAAAATGGTGCAGCATATCGGGGCGTTTGGAATATCTAACAAATTTGTAAGTCACAGAAAAATGGAATATGTAATTTATAAATATTAACTGGGAACAGTGGTGGGTATTCAGGTAGATAATGCCCCGCCTCTTCATTGGTCGTTGGCAGTGGTTACTGAGCTCCTGCGAGAGGGAAGTTTGTGGGTCCGATTCGAAAATTGTACCCTCTTCCAGAGCAATGACTTCAGAGTAACACCCTTGTGTAAATAATTAGTAACATTAGAGATATAGGTTTTCTTTGATTAATATTTTGTTTTCTTTGGTTACATTGCGGGTCCAGTTAAATTTTACTGTCAGAAAGTTTGGGATATATTTATTTATTTAATATATGGTGCTTCGAGTTATTTTTTATTTTTGCACTAATTATATGCAGATTGGGCTGAAAACCACGTTTGCGCCAGTTTGAATTTATTTTGTTTCATTTGCATTTTTATATTTTCGGTAAAACGCGCGCCAACACCGGTTTAGAAACCAATCAAACTCGGTCGAAAATCAGCATTGGTCGGTAAACCCACGAAATAAACTCCGGTATATACGAGTTCAAAGAAATCGGGGTTTGGGGAAAAAAGGACTTCCGTGAGTTTCTTTCCAATGGTTCTTCGCTCCCTCTATTATCATTTTTTCGCCTAGAGTTCAGTGCATACGATCGCGGACAGTCCGGATCATTAAAAATTAAATTTAATTGCGACAAGTTGGCTAAAGGCCACACCAGAGACAATGTGGCATAATTCTGTCTGCGGCAAAGATTCACCAAAAACTGACATAAAAACCCTGTCATTAGAAGTAATTTGTGACATAGTGTACACCACAAGTCATCTGCAGTTCGTTTCTTGGGTTATATCAAGTATGAAGCTTTTGATAGTCCAAATAGCTTCAAAAATATTGTTAAAGGCCATGTTTCCGTGATTGACGCTAATATTTTCCGGTAAATGGTGATTAAATTGCGAGAAATATTTTGAGATGAGTTTTTTTTGGGTATGTATGTATTAAGTGTAGATTTAAATGAATGAATAATAAATATTAAATAAAAAAACTTTTGTTAAAAAAATGATATGAATATTTCGTTCCAATAATTTATTCTTTACAGAAGATAATAATAATCATTTTTTAACGGAGACAAATGCGTATGATAGATATTATAAATTATTGCATCACAATATTTAGCAAATATCAGGTTTTACTTGCTTGAATCATCACACTTAACTTAACAATGTCGAAACCAAACTTAATTTGGATCTCAAAAACGTTTCTCAATATAGTAAAAACCACAATCTTAACTACGTTCTAAAACAATTACAACAATTCATGAAGAAAGAGATGAACAGGAAATGAGGAAGACAGCGTTACAGAGTTGCAAACGTGTTGAGTGACCTCCAGAGGGCTTAAACATCTTCAAAAAATTAAGGATTGATGAGATAACAAAAACATTAATAAAGCTAGGTGTTAATAAATCTATTGAACAATGTGATATCCCAGAACTGTGGAAGTTATCTGTGGTTGTACCAGTTTCTAACTTAAAAAAAAACAAGCAGTGTGATATTCGAGAATATTTTAAAAAAGGGGCCGATGAAATTCTGGCATCTTCAGAGGCTGCGCGCCTGCGTTAAAGCAATTCAAGCACTTAAACCTTAAAGTTTAAGTGCAATTGACATGAACGCGCTGCCTCTGAAGATCCCAGATGAAATTCTGGCGAAACGTCAAGTGACCGATCTTACTCTAGGATCAAACAACGAACGAATGGATGTCCGGATCAACAGCAGTACACATTATACAGGAGGTTTTCTAATTTAATGTCAATTAATTAGGCGACATACGAACATATGTCCAACTTAACAGGGTGGTAAAGCCTTCAAAGATAAAAAATATTTTTTTAATAACTATAATACCACTTTAGATATTTCAATGAAATAAGGCACACGTGTACTATGTAACAAGACGCATTATTTAGCGTACCACATTTGTTTTAATAAAAATTATTCTTACAATCTGCAACCATTTCACTTAAAAAAATTAAATCCTTTTCTCTGCATGGTCAGCACACAGAGGAATCAGTTTTAATTTTTAAGCAAATCAGTGTCATGCCACTGCCTATCTATGAAATCATAATATTTTCTTTAATTAGGTTGCTGGTCAAATTGAGATTTTTTTTGTGAAAAATAAAATCTCTATCCAAAATATTTGCTTTTTAGTTTAGTTAGTTTATTTAGTTTAGTCCTTTAGAAAGAAAACATATTAGAACACTTTTCTTTTTTACTTTTACAGTTTTAATAATAATAACATAGCCTAAAAACAAGATAAAATCGCAGGAAGCTCTTATACGACCCTTCAGCTCTTCTGCAGTGTTAATTGAGGTGCGATAAACCAGATTTTTAAGATGCCCCCAAAGTGAGCAAGCGCGCTGTCATGCATGAACCACATTCTGTTCCTAATTAAACATGGTGCTTCTTCTAGTAATATTGGCAAATCCTTTTCTAAAAACCGGTGATAATTATGGCCACTTAGCCTGTCTGGCAGTAACAAGGTTCAATTAAGTAATTTCCAACAATTCCAGAACAAAATATTTAGGGAAAACTGTTCTTCATCCTTAAATTGTACAACTGCATTAGGGTTTTCATCGGTTCAAATATGGTTATTGTGGAACTTAATGATTGCATTTTTGGAAAAGTTAGCTTCATCTGAAATAGTTTAACCAACTAAATTTAATTTTTTGGTCAAACAAGGGATAAGGAGAAATTTTGTCCGAAAACCATTGACAAATATTAACACGCAATCGAAAATCTCTGGAAAGTATCACCTGAACACGTTGAATATGATATGGATACAATCGAAAATCGTGCAAAATTTTCCAAATTAAGACTTACGAGATATTCAGATTATTTCCAATTTTTCTAATACTAAGTTGAGGATTTTCATCATTAGAATTTAAAACTGTTTCTTCAATTTCTGGAGCTCTTACAGTCCTATGGGCTCCTTTTAAATGATTATTTGCCCCCCAAGGACTAGTTTCAGTCAACCTTATATGTACATTTAAAAATGTTCGCCTATATAATGATATAATAATTCCTATGATACTTTTTCTAAAACTTCTGGATTCCTCCTACGGCGGTTTTTGTTGCTTTTTCAGTCAAGCTCTGAAGAAGCCAACAGGATGATTGGCGAAAAGTTAGTTCGAGTCAACAAAAACCTAGAAGTTTTATAAAAAGTATTACCATAGCCTGTGGATGTTTCTAAGAAAAATCCCTATGATTATGTATTAAGTTCTCCTCAGGGTTTACATACTTCGTATTCCTACTTCGTTTATATGAAGTGTTTCAATAAAACAAATAGACCATGCCGATATTAAAAAAATATATTGTATTTTTGAAAACTTTACCACCCTGTACCTCAAAAGTTAAGACGTTTAGGACATATGTTCATATGAAGTTTTCTTGTTAAAATTGATACAAGAATAGCCCCCTAAATTATTGACATTCAATTAAAAACCACCGCTTATATATTTATATACAATTACTACAATTTTTGCTCCACTCCTCACATAGAGTTCAGACCAAGACCAAGCAGACAAAGTAAAAGCATTCACGGTGGCAACAAAGCCAATACATTTCTGCCACCTTGTGTTTTGTTGTCGATACTAACAAAAGTAGGAGACCAGTGATTCAGTGCATCATCACAGAATTTTAGTTATGTTATATTGTACTAGTATTAGTGTCCTTGGGAAAGGTGCCGTTGGAAAAAAGTAGAACACAGAAAATATTTGCAGATTAATAGAATAAAATGGAACCCTAGAAATGAAGACTAAAGAAATAATTACAAGAAAGCCGATATATTGGATCAGATTTTTTTTAAAGCCTGATTCGCACCAGCAAGTTTGAACCATTTGTGTCCAAAACACTAAAACTTCCTGGAATTTGCAGTATTCGTAGGTAAATTATTAGGCGTAAACTAAAAATCGTAAAAGGTGGAATTTTTTCGTTTCAACAGTATTGTTGGCTGCATATATAGCTATTTCTAGTATTTTTTAAAATAAAGTTTGCATTTTATAAGAGGCGTTTGCACAGAAGTTAGATATTAGTCCGCAGGAGCAAGATTGAAAAATAAGAAGGAGGAGAGCGCGCAGCGCAGAGCAGTCGCCTTGTAATGTATCAGCAATGATCAAGATGCAAGAACAGGTAGGTTTTGGAAAAATGTGACTTTGAAATAATACTTATGAAATTCTTCAATTAACTAAAAGGATCTAATTTTTTCTCTATTCCAGATAGTATTTCTGGCATCACTTGTTTTGCTTTACCTTAGAAGAGTTTGTTGGATGTTCGATGCAGTCATGACCCATCTCCGAAACTGTCTGAAGTTGTATGTGCCACCATTTGTTTCAACTTTGCAGGCAAGTACTTTTTAACCATCATCTATGTGAACTCTATATATTCTAATATAAATCAATCTTTTAAGAATACAATTTATTAGGACCACCAGTCTTACGCTATATTTCGCCCATCAGAAGCAGACATCCAGCCCATTTTTTCTTGTCTTTTATGTTGATATTGGTTTCTGCTGAAGCTGAGAACTCACGGTAACACAATATCCGTAATTCATTTATTGTTATTAAATCCGCTTTCGGAATTTTTGAAACCTTTGGTTTATTTTGCCTCTCTATCCCTGTGTGCAGACAAGTTTTAAAGATACTATTCAATCGAGGTTTGTAAGTAAAATGTACCCGAATTCAAGTTGCAGAACGGCATAGTCTTTTAATTGCTAAGACGCAAATTCTAATTGAATTGGATATTTCCTGTTTTTTAGGATAATCATTTTACAAAATCAAAACACTCGGATCTTTATCTCTGGCCTATAAATATTCCATTTCCCGTTTTAAATTTTAACATTCTTGGTTTGAGCCTGTACGAGAGGGGTAACGATGAAGGTCATAGCGCTAGTCCTGGCCGTGACGGCTTGTGCCCTCGGTAAGTCCCTTTTGGATTCTCCTTTTCTGTTAAATGGTTAACGGTTGTTGACCAAATCGTAATCAGATAAAATATTGATGATGTTGAAATCTCTTATCAATTTATGAGAACCAGAACCAAATATGTATGGAAATCTAATACTTCATTTCCAGCATCACCAACACCGGTGGACCCGTCCCCCAAGATCATCAACGGTCAAAACGCAGTCAGAGGTCAATTCAACTACATCGTGTCTTTCCAACTATTAGTCCAAAATCAATGGAGGCACAACTGCGGCGGTTCCATCATCGGCCGTAACTACATCCTCACCGCGGCTCACTGCATCGGAGCCAACACACCATTGAACCAATACAGAATCGTCGCCGGTATTCTGAACATCAACGACGTCAACGTGGGTGAGCAAATACGCAACATTGCAGCAACCGTTTCCCACGAGCTTTACCCTGGGTATATTTGGTCTTACTATTTAATCGACCAAGTGCCTAATCGATCAAGTCTATTGCAGGGGTAACACTATTGCGCCTCACGACATAGCGTTGTTGAGACTGAGCACTCTGCTTACTTATACCGACAATATTCGCCCGATCGCTCTTCCACCTTTGGGGCACGTACCCGAAGGTACTGCCACTTTGGCAGGGTGGGGAGCCATTCAAGACTTTTTGGGTATCATCTACACCTACCCCAATACACTTCAGTTTGCGGAGTTGCCCGTGATTGGCGATTTTGGTAAACGAATCTCTAAGGTGCACCGGGATGGTGGGTAATGGTGCTTTTTGTTCATAGACTGTAACCAACGTCTCAACACTGCCCTCCAAAATCGCCCGCATCCCTTCGATCCCGTGTCCAATATCTGCACTGGGTCCTTCGTGGGTTTCCAATCCGCATGTGGAGGTGATTCCGGCGGCCCCCTCGTCAAAGACGGAAGGGTAGTCGGTATCGTATCCTGGGGACTTAGTCCGTGTGGCGCGGGTGCCAACAATCCGAGCGTCTACGCTCAAGTATCTAACTACGTGGACTGGATCGACAGGAACACACCAGATCTACAACAGTAAGGTGGCCTTTTGGACTAAATGGAGTTTTAAAATTTTCGTAATAAAAGATAAATCAGCAAGTCTAAAAAAGTGTTTTCGTTCCACCAAATTTATGTGCACGCACAAATGTAAATGTGGCACAAAATGTTGCCTCTTACATCTGTAATTGTCTTTTGTAGATGTTTGTTCTCTTTTTCTTTTTCTAACTCATACGCCCATTTTTGCCAACAAGTTCCAGTTTTCAGTTTTAAGGGTATATTCAGCTCAATTATGGTAGGGCTCTGTAACTTTTTTATTGGATGGAAAACGACGTAGAATATTGCTGCTGAAGTGCTTCTGGTTAAGTACGTTAAGATTCATAGTTTCCGTTAGATAGCAATTTTTCGAAACACTTAAGATAAACCGCACGATTCGGTTATAAATATGTTTTACCGACGCGTCCTGCTATCATTCCTGAGTCGCAGTGTGTATGAGAAGGGCAACATGAAACTAGTACTGCTAACGTCTGCCTTGTTGGCATGTGCCCTTGGTAAGTACGCATTTGAATGTGCCTATCGACATAAAGCGCCTATATTTTCTAGCATCACCAAAGCCAGTGGATCCCTCTCCCAAGATCATCAACGGCCAAAACGCCATCCGAGGTCAATTCGAGTATATCATCTCGTTCCAAGTTTTCTCCAGCGGTCAATGGAGACACAATTGCGGCGGCTCCATCATCGGTCGTAACTACATTCTCACCGCAGCTCACTGCATCGGAGTAAACACTCCCCTCAGTTCGTACAGAATTGTGGCTGGTATCTTGAACCTCAATGATGTCAACGTCGGTGAACAGATCCGCTCCATTTCCGCCGTTATCGTTCACGAGCTCTTCCCAGGGTACTGTCTTGCATAAAACTTTATCAACACAGCAAATTACATTTTTGTGAATGCAGAGGTCCGGTGGTCGCACCCCATGATGTAGCCCTTCTCCGACTGAGCTCTTTGCTGGACTGGACCAACGGTATCCGTCCCATTGGCCTGCCACAGTTAGGCCAGGTGTCTCAAGGTACTGCTACTTTGGCCGGATGGGGAGCCGTCCAGGACTTCTTGGGTATCATACAAACCTTCCCCAACACTCTTCAGTTCGCTGAACTGCCTGTAATTGAAGACTTCGGTATGTATCTGGCATCCAATAACCGAGTCCATCTGCAGGGATTTTCTCTTTTCCAGAGTGCAACCAACGGCTCGACACCATCTTAGGAGGACGTCCTCATCCGTTCGACCCCATTTCCAACGTATGCACCGGGTCTTACGTAGGCTTCCAGTCTGCCTGCGGTGGAGATTCTGGAGGTCCGCTCGCCAAAGACGGTAGGATCGTAGGTGTTGTCTCCTGGGGTATATCGCCGTGTGGTGCTGGCGAAACCAACCCCACCGTTTACGCCAAGGTGTCCAATTACGTCGACTGGATCGACAGGAATACCCCCGATCTACAAGAGTAGATATTTGTTTAAATAAAGTTGTAAATAAAATTTTAAAAGCGATGCGTTGTTTATTGAGTTGAGAAACAGTTACTTCAATAACCTATAAAATAAAAACGATAAATTTAGTTTCGACGACGATATGAGAGTCCTTTTCCAGGACTCACGGTCAATGAATTTGGAGGTCCTATTTTCTCCCCATTCCTCCTGCGTCCCTGAAAAGGAGCTAAAGTGGACATGATGCAAGTAATTTGTATATTGCGTATTTAGAAACGCTTTCGATTTGCTCGATAAACCTGGTAAATTGAAGATTGTATTCCTCTTGAAATTGAAGATATCGTTGGTTCAAGAACAATGTTATCTGCAAAATTCCTCAGAAGAGAACGACATTGTCGACGTCTGATATGTTTTATCAGTAGAAGTGAAATACTTGTCTACTTGCGATACCTGATCATTTTTTCTATTCAAATCAGATATAAATATGGGCTACGTCAGCTCCCGGCTCAATTATAGTGATGATGGCCGCCACGAAAGTTCTGATCCTGGTCTTAGCAGCGGTTGGTGTGGTTTTATGTAAGAATACTATTTAGATTATGGCTTTTCGTCGATATACAAGAATCTTTTCTTATAGCCTCGCCGAAACCGGCCGATCCAAGCCCAAGAATCATCAACGGGCAAAATGCGACAAGATCGCAATTCCCATACATCATCTCCTTCCAGCGCAGACCAATACTGTCGTGGAGTCACATCTGCGGTGGGTCCATCATCGGTCGTAACTACATCTTGACCGCCGCCCATTGCATTGGCGTAAACAATCCCCTCAGTCAGTACCGCGTGGTGGCTGGTATTCTGAACCAAGACGACGTCAACGTTGGAGAGCAAGTCCGGTCCATTTCGGCGATTATCTCTCACGAACTCTTCCCAGGGTAAGTAACGACTGATGTACCAAAAGGAAAGGACTAATATTATTTATACGTTTAGGGGTCCAACAGTAGCGCCCCACGACATAGCTCTGTTGCGTCTGAGCTCCCTACTGAACTGGTCGAACAACGTGAGACCCATTCCTCTGCCTAATCAAGGACACGTATCTGCGGGTACCGCTACCCTGGCCGGTTGGGGTGCTATATCTGATTTCTTGGGTATTATCCAGACTTTCCCCAACACGCTCCAGTACGCGGAGCTGCCAGTGATAGACGACTTCGGTGAGTGATTGGTAAGATTATTTCATCATTAAATTAATTCGGAGCAATTACAGAATGCAACAGCCGTCTCACGACCATCCTTCAAGGCAGACCTCATCCGTTTGACGCTCTCTCCAATATTTGCACGGGATCTTACGTGGGCTTCCAATCCGCTTGCGGCGGTGATTCTGGTGGTCCTTTGACCAAGAATGGTAGAATTATTGGTGTGGTATCCTGGGGAATAACGCCGTGCGGCGGAGGAGCCAACAACCCTACCGTCTACGCCAAAGTGGCTTCTTACGTCGACTGGATCGACAGGAACACCCCAGACATCCAGGAATAGGAGATTGAAATTGTATTTTCTTTTTGAGAAATAAAATAACGCCAGTACTCATTTTCGTTTAATTGAAATTGAAAACTCCTTATCAAAGATAGAACTAGCCACTTAGCGATCCGTAACCTTCGACGCTTTCTCAGAGTTTGCAAATCAACGCGTTTGATCTCAGGCGACATGGAAACACAATAGACACTCCAAAAATATTTTTATTATCATCTTTAATTCAATTTACGTTTGTAAATCGGGAGCTTGGCGCTCGATCCAATCGAGGAAGCTGGTAACTTTCGCGTACACCGAAACGGCGTTGGGAATGGTACCGCAAGGGGTTAGTCCCCATGAAACCACGCCCACCAACTCACCATGTAGTGCAAGGGGGCCTCCCGAATCTCCTCCGCAAGCGGACTCAATGGCCCGGGCGGGACCTGAGCAGATGTTAGTGTTTACGTCGAGAGGATGTGGTCTTCCCAGCAGGAGGACGTCTAATCTCACTCGGCACTCTGCAAAATATAATTTAATCAGCCCTAGCAGCGATAGGAGTGGGTTATTACCATTGGCGTGAACTATGGGTACTTCCACGAACTGGAGAGTATTAGGAGCCGCGGGATTGTTAGCACCCAGTGAGCCCCACCCAGAGAGGAAGGCATACCCCGAAGGTTCCTTGTTGGGAGCGGGCAGATCAATTGGTTGCACGTTGACGGTCCAAGCGAAAGGCGAGGCCACGCGAGCTACCGCTATGTCATTGGGAGCAACGACATTGTTTCTGCAACACTAAAACTTTAGGAAAGTCGTACCGGAAGTGAAGCAACGCACCCCGGGTAAAGCTCGTGGTTCACGATCCTCGTGATAGCTCTGACTTGCTCGCCGACATTGATGTCGTTCAAGTTCAAGACTCCGGCGACTATTCTGTACAAAGCGGGCACTTGTGGGAAATCGAAGCAGTGGGCGGCGGTGAGTACGTAGGTGGTGCCGATGATGGAACCGCCGCAGTAATGCCTGAAATTCGCTCCCGATCCTATTTGGACCGAAACCTGATATGGAAACTGGTTTCTTGCTGCGTTATCTCCACCTGCTATGCGCTGGCCCGGATTGACGGTGGGGTGAGCTGGGGAAGCTGGAAGATGGTGGTGAGTTGCGTGGTGGTGCGTCGGGGAAAGAAGCACTTACCTGCGACACACGCAACTAAAGCTGCCGCTGCGATCAGGGCCCTCATGTTGATTAGATACAGACTGACCGAGATCGACTGGCGTAGATGTATATTGACGAAGCAAAAAAAAATTTTGATTAGATCTTAAGTGGGTTGGGATGAGTGGCGCAATAATAATTATGACGGAATACATTTCTGGCTGCGCAGATCGCCCGATACGAGCCTGGGTGAAAATAAAATCTTTTCCCCGCGACGTTCGTGATGCTTTTCTGCCTCCGAGCGATATAAAACGGCGGTAAACCTCGCGATACATAATAAACACGTCGCAGATCCGTTTCTCCAAACAGGTAAAACCGATGTTATGAAAATTTATAAAAGTAAAACAAGCTATTAGTTATAATTATATCGCATGCACTTTCCATCAAGATAAAGTGGGGGCTCGAAATTTTGTTGTTCGGTAAGTTATGGCATCAGATTAGAGGGCGAACGATTTGCATTTCCCTGCTGGCGGCGGCGCGTCACGCGAGCTCGAATTATCATAACCATGTTTATGGATGTTTGAAAAATATGTATCTCTTTATAGGTCGCTGGCTCGGCGTCTCGGGTGCCAACTCCATTAAAGCCGCGTCCCGAACTTGAACCATTTTAGGTTCGTTCCGATTCGGGCTTGTCGCTTTGCGGGGCCTTTCATGCGCATGCGCAGATACCAAGCGATGAAAGATGACGTCGTTGACGTTTGTTACAATGTAACCATTTAAAATCACTGTAACTCGGAAGCTGTTCGAGCTGTAGTACTGAAATTTTCTCCCGTTTAAGTACAGAAAACTTTATCTTGCCAGTAAAATATGAAAACGATCGGATCACGTCAACTCTGATTTTTCATTAAGTTTCTTTAGATTTTGCAGGAGGATTAACAAACCTAAATATAACCTATTGCAATTGGGCGGGAATGTATAATGGAAAATAATATTGAAAATTGCCGGTTCCTTTCACATCGCAAAAGCGGCAAAAACCTTTGTATTTAAGGTTTTCGCATATTAACCAAAATGTGTGAGATATTCCGCGTTTTGTTACAATAATACCTAATAAAAGTGCTAGGCAATTTTGATATCGATTTTTGTTAAAACATGTATTTTGTTTTAAAAAAATAACCTTATTTGGTAATAAAATTTGGAACTTAAGAAATTTGTCTGTATGACGTTTTGATGTTAAAATGGAACCAAAAGTCACTTCCTTAAATATTGACGTTTATTATTGTGTTTATTGTCTGATTGCATTATAGGTTCATTATAAAGGTAACAAGTGAATTACGTTGCTGTAAATTTCATAAATTCCATAACAAAATCAAACGAAAAACAAAAATTATCATTATCAATAGTCGAAAAAAAAATCGAAAATTGATAGTTCGGGTAGTATGGGTGGCTATTTTATTGGCGGTTTACGTCGGCTTTGTCGTTAAACTTCAGGCTCGGAGTCGACGACTTCGGGGGCGACAATTGCAGAGCTGATTTGTAAAATTAAACTGACGCACGCGAGCAAATGCTACCAATTTATTTTAGTGACTTTGCCACCCTCCGACGATGCGGCCAAATAGAATAGGAATCGTTGTTTAATACACTTACTCCCTCCCAAATAAAAATCAATCAGCCGTATAACAGTCTGCGTGCACGGAACACTGTAATTTAGTTAATTTATATAAATCTGTCTCGAATGGTGGCGAGGGTGACTTTAACCCCGAAACGCATTAAGCGCGTATGGGAAACGCGAACCAAGCGCAGCTTGGCAAACAGGCGTCGGATTCCTTGTTCAAGCCTTATTTATCATGTATAGCCAGTCTGAATTTCCGACCAATTTCGTCAACCTTGCTATACGATTTCTTCTTTTTAGCAATTCGCAGCTGTGCCCAAAGTTTCGGAACGGCGACGGGCGCCATCTTCGGGACAAATCTTTAGCGGGAACGGTAGCGGTCATGCAAATTTTTTACGGCAAATATCTTATCCGATACGGTTATTACACAAAGCCCTATTACGAGCCGCATACAAGACAATAATTACGGATAAGTGCTTTATTAAATTACCGTGGCAAATTATTTATGCGACCGTTGTATACTTTAATAACACCCCGATGATGGCGGGTACGATCGGCGAACGCGATAAATCGGCAAAACGAGGCGCAAACAATTTTTTTTATATACGTTACGCTCGTTTAAATATAGATGACGGCCCGGGGGTCCTGATGACTTTCAATATTCTTTAAATTCACAGGATCTAATTATAATAATTAAACATATATACATAGTCCATATACGGTTTAGGAATCCAATTAGCACGTTGGTAACGACAATTATTCTATTGCAACACGATTAATTAAATAATTCGGGAGTTATTTAATTTCGAATATAGTAAATTTAATTAACTTTGTTAAATCCCTCCACGAATTTTTAAATTATCTTATTTGAATGTGTGGTTAAGCTAAGCTAAATTACCAATGCAGTTAATAGGAATATGCTCTAAATTGACAGGATTAAACTATTACAATTAAACTTATACTGATAGTTTATGTAATTAAACTTATAGGGTTTTACAATTATGTATATTGATTTTCCTTTATCATATCAGCTTTATAAATGTTTTTATTAACTTAATTAAATGTCTTCTTTACTTACCAATGCAATTTATGGGCACATTCTTTTAATTTAAAGGGTTTAATTACACGGGCCTACAATTTTTAGACTTTTGAAAGTTGATTTCAATCTGATATTTGATTCTGTATAATTTAGGCCTTGCATTTCCATTTCTTGTATATCTTGATGGTACCTCTCACGTTGCTCCTCACTCACAGCATCAAGATTTTCAGAGAAGTAGTCGAGATGTGACTGTAAAAAGTGCAATTTTATACTTGTATTGCATCCGATTTCCCAAAATTTCTCTAACAGGTTTTCTACAATATCTTTGTTGTTTCCTAGAAAACCTTTTATAACATCAGTAACTGAGAGCCATGTATTTTAGATCGTGCTATTCGGAAAATCTTGACCTTATTTGAGGATCTACAAATTTTTCTGAGAAAAGTTTTCCACATAAGTATTTAAAACATGCTATTCAAAACTTTAAAGTAATGCTTGATCAGTTCTATTTAAATATGCAAAGGTGGTAAGAGATTTTTTGGTGGATCAATAAAACTAACCAAAACTATCAAGAGGAATATTTTTTGATCCGGAAGTTCAATTAACCCATTTTGGCCAATTCCTGTTTACCCCATGATGCTGTTTGTTTCTACTGTTTCAGAAGTCCCACAATTTTAACGTCACCACAAATAATCGAACTATAGTTCTTGTATTTGAGCTTCTCAAGCAGTAGTTCCAGATTTTTGAAGCATTTTGACATTTGCCCAAAACGAGCAACAGGTACAAAACCAACAATATATTGATCTATGCAAAAAGTTTGAGCGTGTCGTAGCAATTTCAATTTTTCATAAATTAATTCAAAAATGTCGTGTGAGAAACAAAAACACATTTTTTTTTATATATAACTCCAAACATATGAAAAATACCAAATCCGAGAATGTTTGTTAGCCTATATTTTTGATTAATTGATTAATGACAAATATAGCAACCCTAATTAAGGTTGTTAAATAATTTAGCGAATTTCTACTTTTCTTTTTCAAATTGGTGCTAAGTTTTAGCTGAATGTATTCGTAATTTACCAATGCAGTTAATAGAATTTTTTAATTTTTATTTTTATAATTATATAGATATTCCATGTAACTGGATTCGTATATATTTAGGATGAACTGCCACGTTGGTAACAACAATTACTATATTGCAAAATGATTAATGAAATTGTGTGGAGATTGGTTAATTACGAATTGAGGAAATTTGATTAACGTTGTTAAATTCATATCTGAACTTTTCTGTATCAAAAGAGAGCTAATCTAGTTCTGCGAATGTTCTAATTATCTTAATGAAATATATTCTTTACTTATAACTGAAGTTAGAAGGTCAGGTTTAATAATTTTGAACATACGTACTTTTTTTGGCGTTGCAAGGATTTAATTAAATTGATTTACTGTTAAAGTCTGTGGTAGTTTAACCTTTACAAATAGTTTATTCACTGTGGAAAGGTGGTGTTCGTATAAATTTATCAAATTTGGTTCCTAACCTCTTCCGACAAGTGGTCGTGTGCAATTAACACCCCGATGCGGATGTCAAGGTGCCGTAATATTTTACGAACACCGTTGCGTTCACCGCTTAGAGGTATATCGGTTCCTAAATAGGGCCTATTACCTGCCAATTTGGAGTGTTAAATCATTCCCCATAATCGACCAGATCCGGTGTAGTGGTCGAAAGCGTTCGTCGATAACTTTGAGCGGACAAGAGGCGATGCCAGAATATCGGATGAGGGCCGGAGCGATGAAACTTTTTCAGCGCTAATTGTGTCTGATAAACAAGTATTGGAGAAGGAGATTGGGTGGAGCCGGGAGTGAACTGAAGGATTGGATGGTACCTTCAGTTATGGAATATTGACTGACTCGATTGCATATGGCGCGTATGAATTATATTGCATTCCCTATCTTTTTATTGTTTTATTTTTTACTTTTAAAAAATTCTTAACCACCATGGCATCCCGTTTAAGAATACATTTTTTGGGATCCGTTGTACAATATTTTCACATATTATTATAGAAATACGCCATGTTCTTTGCAAACTATTGTAAACATAGATATATTTGGTGCATACACAGTCTATATTTAAAATTACTTGCAATAAAGCATTAAAAAATAATTTTAACAAAGATACATCTGAATATAAAAATTCGTATACTGAATAAAAGACAGAAAGATAGCATAACATAGATACATATTTTCTTATATAAGAGAGAGTCAGCATTTATAAAATGTATATAAATGTATGTGTACAGCTGTAACGGACCCCCAGCCCAACCAAGAGTCGCACTGTTGGAATCTGTATACCAAACATTTTATCAATATAATAATAATAATATTAATAATGATAATGATAATAATAATAATAATAACACGTCTTTATTTACATATCTAGAAACAATATGAAATGAAGCAATATAAGATAGGAGGGTGGCGAGATCTAGCAA